CTTTATGTCCTTTCGGTACAATAAATTTAAAATCATGGCTTCCTCGGGTTCTCCTTTCTTTGTTTGTTATCAAATAATCCCCCCAATCCCCATCTAGGAGGCCGTGGCACATCTTGTACATAGGGGAGAGCCTGGCATGTCTTCTCATTGTTTCAAGTGTGTCCCACTGTAGGTCTTACAGCATTTCCGTCACGCTCGTTGTTCGATCGTAATTTCCAGTGACAAAGCGGGCTGCTTTCCGCTGTACCTTGCGTGAGGCGACACGCCTGAAAGCCGGAAGCCGGAAAGCAAAAGGCAGTCGACCGTTAAAAGGTGTTGATAGGCCGGATCAATTGTCGGCCGACATGGCGACCGACATGGCGACCGACATGTCGACCGACATATCGGTCGACATGTCGGTCGATAGTCGGTCGATAGTCGGTCGATAGTCGGTCGCTAGTCGGTCGATAGTCGGTCGACCGACGGATGAGTGTCGCGTCTCGATGGAATATCGGTCAAGTGTCGGTGGAATATCGGTCAAGTGTCAGTGGTCTGTCGGCCGAGTGTCGGTAGTCTATCGGTCAAGTGTCTGAACTTTATCTGTAAATATAGTTTGAACGTCGCTCGTGTGCTTGTGTATTGTTGCAGTTTCGGTATTGAAAAATTTGATTTGAAGGCATAAACTTTTAGGTATATGATTAAGTGTCAATGAAGTATCGGTGAAGCATCGCCCAAGTGTCGACCGAGTGTCGGCCAAGTGTCGGTCAAATATCGACCGACTGTCTACCGATATGTCGACCGACTATCGGCCGACATATATCGGTCGACATATCGACCGCCATGTCGACATATCGACCGCCATGTCGACCGGCTATGGACCGACTATGGACCGACTGTCGACCGACTGTCGACTGACTATCGACCGACTGTCGACCGACTGTCGACCGACTGTCGACCGACTATCGACCGACTGTCGACCGACATGTCGGTCGCCATGTCGGTCGCCATGTCGGTCGCCATGTCGGCCGACACTATTTATAGTAACATTGATCCCAATTTTTGGATCAATTACCATGTTAGAAATAACAATATATCGCTTAAACTCTGAACGTAATTGCATTAAATTCATTTCATCAGAAATCCAGAAGATTTTTAGTACTTTTGGGCGTGGTTGCTTTCACTGATTTTACCATATACCTAAATGTTTTATCTGAAAAGCTTTGTTTAAGAAAAGGTTTTTCTATTCACAATGCCTTATTTCATGCAGAGATAGTTCGTATTCAAAACATCATGTCCGGTGTTTTAACATCCTCCTTTTGACAGATTTCGTGGAGATGTCATTAAGTTGTAGTTGTGATCTACCATCCGTGAAAAGGAGGCGTCAAATGCATTTTGTGGAATCTGTCATGTAGGTTAGCAGCGAGAAAAAAAATCAAATATCTTAACGCTAATAAAAAGTGATGACCGGAAGCGAAGTGAGTGTTCCTTTCTATTCTATTTAGCGGCTCTAAAATGCTAAATAGGGTCTTCATCACGAAGACCACAACGGGCGAGCTCGGAATTCGTCATCAGAAATCTACCCGAGATGACCTCTTGGTGTTTTCGACACCGCGGAAATACGATTTCGTGACGTCACAGTAACTGGTCAGTGGTCATCAACTTTAGGCTGCCAAGCGCTTCCATATGTTTGTGAATTGAGTTCGATGAAGACATCGGCCTTTTGCGTGGTTTTAAGTTGGAAAATATGCATGATACTTCTCCTTGTTTGTTATATTTGATCCTTTGAATGGGTTTTTAATACTA